CCAAGGCCACAGAAGGACATCATGGAAATGAGATTCGATTATAAAGGCCTGAGTACAGGGATGAAAACATTCCTTCCTTCCTCCCTGCCTAGTTCTCATTCTGGGGTTTTAAATAATGCAGATTGGTCTTCTGCGAAGTTCCCTGGAGTCAGAGATTTGTGGAAGGAGTTTGTTGGGCGTGTTCTTGGAGATGACTCCTGTAGGGAGTGAGGAACGCAGGTCTGGGCAGAGGCAGGTGCTGGACTGTGAGGCAGTCAGAGTAGACCTAGCAGATCCCCTAGGAAGCTCGGAAGCCGAGCTTTGTCCCCGATTGAGTCAAGGGACTTTTATGCATCTACATTGACTCATCTGGGGTGTGGCTGCCCCTCGGGCAGATATGACCTTGGGTCTGGCTGTGCCCTTTGGTGGAGGCAACTCCCCGAAGGAGATTGAGTTTCAAGACCTCTTGCATTTCTGACTTGATGTCTTTTGTCAGTTTTAGGAAAATTCCAGTTATTCTCTCTTCAAGTATTTGACCTGCTTCATTCTATTTCCTTCATCCTTCTGCTTATCTTATCATATATATTTTCATCATTTTAGCCACATGCCCTATGTTCCATATGCCCTATTCTGTATTTTTTTTACTTTTTCTCTCTATGTTTCAGTCCGGTATCTTCTTTTGATCTTACTCCTAGTTCAACAATTCTCACTTCAGCTATCTAAAATTTGTCATCCTACCTATTTCTTAATTCTCAATTTTCTACATTTCAATCATTAACCTTTTTCTTTTTAGAATTTATTTTTTTTCTTTTTGTGGTATTCGGTCTATGTTGATTTTTTTTCTCTTTTGAATTACTTAAACTAAATGGATGATAGTTATTTTAAAGTGCATATTTGGATTTCCCATGTCTATTTCAAATGCCATCTTTTTTCTCCTTGGTTTTGGAGAATCTTTTTAAATACCTTGTCACTTCTGCTTTATTTGTGAACATTGTTATAAAAATTTGCATAGATAACTTGAGGCTCTAGGCGATGGCATTTTCCTTTATTTCTGACACATACTGAACGAGCACAGCCAGGTAACCTTTATCCATGGAGGGATAGCATTGATTCAGAGCTAGCTTTCATTCCTTTTGATGAATGAGCTTGCTCTGGTTTTCCTTACTTTTGGGGGTCCCAGCTGAAAGCCTTGGGTGCTTTTCAGGGCCCCTTCTCCTTTGTTGTTTTACTCTCTCTGCCCTGAGAGTCTGCCAAAAAGCTCTGCTGTATTTCTCAGGAGCAATCGTCATAACTGTCCCATGCCTTGAAAGTAAAAGCAGTGGCAAAAGGTTTTTTTGCCCGTTTTCTAAGGCCTGTGGCTTTGCCTTCTGTGCCATTGGGGCTTTAACACTGCAGATGCCCCTGAGACAGGTGAACTCTTGGTATCAGCCTAGCCTTCTGGTTTCTAACCTTCTCTTTCCTTTAATCTCCCTGTTTGTATTTATTTTGTATTAATTTTTTACAAGCTTACTTACGAGTTTAAAAGTGTGTTATTCTTTTATCCAGCATCTCTAGGTGTTTTTTATTGGCAGGTTTCTTTCTTTCCTTCCTTCCTTCCTTCTTTCTTCTTTTGATATCTGGTCTTACATAGTCTGGATTGTACTTAATGCCAATAAAAAAAGTCTGCATTACTTTCTACAATATTAACAACCTCAAAGGGCTCTTTGAATGCTAAAATGCTTGGCGTCTGTCATTATGTAATAGTAGTGTTTTAACATAGTTTTGAAATAACAGTTTCTAAGTGGCAACAGGGCACCCGACACCCACTCCAAGTTGTGTATGGTGTGACAGAACACCACTTGAGAAGCTTGCTGTGGAAGCTTGTCCTCACAAGGATCTGGTGTCCTTCACAAGGAAAGGGAATGGTCTCTGTTAAAGCAAGAAGGTGGAAGGAACTCTTAATGAAGAGGTCAAGCAAGAACCTGTGAGTTTGCTGATTAGGAAGCAGGAGTTCCAAGGGACACGTGGAAGGGTTTAGGATGGCACAGCAGAGGTGTCCAAGGAGACTGGCATGTGGGGTATGGCCCAGTGAAAACGGCTGATTGGGGGAAGGATGCCGCTTGGTGTTGAAATGATAAGGAGAAGCTGACAGACTGGGTCTCAGCGGCCTTCTGAGGAAGGTGGGCTCTAGGTCTAATAGCCAACGGACTTAAATAATACAGCCTGAACCGCTATTAGTGTGAGGGGTTAAAATCTTCCTGAAATCTCTTATGCACTAAAGGCCTGTGCAGCCCTAGCACCAGTGGCCTGAGATGGCAGCAGTTGTGGGCCTGTGGTTTTCCACATGCCCTCGATGTCTGGGAAATGTTCTTGCTACTCTGTCCCTCCTTCTCTGCAGTGTTCTTTAGAGCATGGTGTTATCCAACTTTGTGACTTCTTATTAGATTTTACAGTGAAAATTTTCAGAGAACCAAGGATATGTTCATCCACAAATAGGAAACCATCCTTTAAAAAGATTACTGTTGTCAGGAGGCCTTCGATGAGACCCAGGTAAGACAAAGGATCTGGTTACACCAGTGTCTCCAGGCACAGGCCTGGAGTTCAGCATGAACTTATTTCTCTGTGTGTTAGTTTCTAGACTCTTTCTCAACTACCACACACACATGCACAGGCATACTAAGTATTTTAAATCATTATTCATTTTCTAAACCTGGCACCATACAATATATATTATACAATAAGTTTTTCAACATAACAAACTCTATGGACATCCTTTGATGTCAGTATAGGAGGTTTAGGCCTACCTCCTTCCATAGTGTGAATGTAGCATGATTTATTTAACTATATGTTTTTCATGGATATTTACATTATCTTCAGTTTTTGTATTGCTATCAGTAGCACCATAATAAACACCTTTGTACATGTGTTAATATACCTCTATCCTTTATAGAATTTAATGATCTTATGATTATATGATTTAGAAAAGACTTCTGTGATATTCATATTCATAGTCTTTATTCATATAGCATAGTCCTTACTGTTAATCTAATATATAACTAAATAAACTTTAGTTCATTGGCCTTAAAAATGTTATGATAAAATATTGACTAATTAGTATGAGAGCATAATGGAAGAAGAAAATTTTGACTGAGGCTTAGGAAAACTTAAGAGTATCAAAAGGGGCCCTCATCTGCATGGAGGAATTAAATTGCAAAGAAATGGGTGTATTTTGTGGGTAGGGCTAAACCTTCCAAGCCAAAGAAATGACACAAAGAGATAAATTCAAAAACGTGAAAGTGGTATTCAAAGACTTGAAAATAGTCCAGTGGTGTTAAAGCACAGAATGTATGGGGAGAATGAACATAAAATATAAAATTAGAAAGCTAGATTGAGACTAAAATAACTGAAAGAAGGTCTTGAGTGAATTATTAAGGAATTTATATTGATTAAATGGCAATAAGGATTCATGGGGGTTTATTGGAACAAGAGTAGCAAAAAACAAAAACACCTAGTATATGGGTTTTAAAAATATTACCCTGGTAGACATAGTGATAATAGTATGAGGAATCAGAGACTCAGACTGAAGGCAGGACTAATAGTTGGAAGGTTGTTGCAGTTGTTTGGGCCAGTGATATTAAAAACCTGAAGTTAATAGTGGGAGTAGATATACAAAGGAAGATACAGATTAAAAAACAAACACTGAAGATGAGGAATTAGACTTCTGGAATGGTAGAGCAAGAACCTCAAAAAATTGTCTCTCCATAAAAACAATGGTAAAACTGGACAAACCTGTCAAAAAATTTTAGAACTTTATAAATTATATCATCCAAAGTTTCAGTTTTAAAAAAATTATGATACATACCTCCCACCCTACACCCTGAAAATACTCACAGGAAAGTATGGCTCAAACACAGAGTGGGGAAAGCAGTCATTAGAAACTATCTCTGAGATGATTCAGATATTGGACTTCCTAAAGACTTCCAAGCAATATGTTCAATGAACTAAAGAAAACCATATTTAAAAAAATTAAAGTATGACGACAATGACTCATTAAATGAAAATATCAATGACTCATCAAATGAAAATATCAGGTGAGGGTAAGATAAAAATTATAAAATAGAACCAAATAGCCCTAGCTGGTTTGGCTCAGTGGTTACAGTGTTGGCCCATGGACTGAAGGGTCGAGGGTTCGATCCCCAGCCCAGTTAGGGTGAGTGTAAGAGGCAACCAATGAATGTGTTTCTCTCACATCCATGTTTCTCTCTCTCTCCCCCCCACCCCTCCACTCTCTCTCTCAAAAAGTCAATGGGCCCGGCCAGGTGTGGCTCAGCGGTTGAGCATCGACCTAGGATTCAGGAGATCGGGGTTCGATTCCCAGTCAGGGCACATGGCCAGGTTGTGGGCTAGGCAGCCGATCAATGACTCTCTCATCATTGATGTTTCTATCTCTCTCTCTCTCCCCCTCCTTTCCTCTCTCTGAAATCAATAAAGATATGTTTTTTTAAAAAAAAATCAATGGAAAAAATATCCTCAGGTGAGGGTTAACAACAACAGCAAAAAATAGAACCAAATAAAACTCTGGAGTTGGAAAGTACAATAACTGAAATGAAAAATTCACTAGAAAGAATCAATAGCAGGTTTGAATTGGCAGAAGAATTAGTGAGTTTGAAATTAGCTCAGCATACATTATCCAGTCTGAAAGCATCAAAAAATAAACATCAACAAAACCTCAGAGGCCTGTGAGGCACCATCGAGAACACCAAGATACAAATAATGGAAGTCTAGGAGAGAGATAAAGGGGCAGGAAAAATATTTGAATATGTAATTGTTGAATACTTAGTCAAAACATACTAGAAGCTTAAGGAATTCCAAGTAGGATAAACTTAAAAAGGTTCACACCTAGACACATCATAGTTAACTATTGAATGACAGAAAGACTAGAAACGTAGTTTCACCATATCAATGATAATTGAAACCACTTCCTCATATCAATGAAAACTGAAGCCACAGAGGAGGCAGATTACCCAGGGGGGAAATCATAAGGCAAAACTCAAGAGGATTGAGGATGAAACATTAGGGGCACCTATGTTTAAGGAACAGTGAAAAAGAGATCAGCAAAGGAAATTTAGAAATATTGATCAGTAACTGCTGATTACTCATGCTCTACCTCACTGAAATGACTGCCAGTTAGGGGTTGTTTTGAATCCATAATGTAGAAAGAAGGTTTCCTTGAAAAGAAATTATCCCCTTTAAAATACTTTTCCTCTTCATTGGGGTTGTCAAATGATTGCACCAAACTTAAGATGGACACATAAAAATGTATCTCCGAGGAAACAGAGTAAGCAATTCATTCACCCTGGTCTTCACACATACTTAAAGGCCCCACAGCCTGGGAGAAGACCTTCCCCATTCCCTAACTAGAGCAGAATTCAGGGTCACCATCCCATTCTTTCCACCAATGATGCTTTCTTGTTTCCAGAAACCTGACAGAAGTCCTCCTAAATGCAAACCACTTGGAGTACTTCATGGAGTTCCTCAAAGAACAGAAGGCGGATAGCGCATTGCAATTCCTGATAGCCATACAGAAGATCAGTAATGAGCCAAATGAAAAGATCTGCAAGTCTCTTATTGAAAATACAGTCAAGACTTTCTTCCATGGCACACTCTCTCCTGGTATGCAGCCTCTTCTCCTTATACTGTTTGCTTCTTTCTTTAGCATCTTAGAAGAGTCTGGAAAAGAGCCTGTCTTAAGAGAGCCTAACAGAGTAGGGGTCACATGGGACAGTATTGAGACAAAGATTAAGAGACAAAGAGTGAAAGCAGAGAACCACCAATAAATCCAAAGTAAATTACTAGTAAAAGAAGCCAAGTGTAAGACATTTGCAGCTCTGAAAATAGGATTTTATTTAATCCCTATAAGGTAGGGATAAATAGTTCTACTTGACTAATGAAGAAGGCCAAACAGAGGCGCTAACTATCTTATCCAATTGATGAAACTTGAATTCAAACTCAAGTTGCTTGACCTTCAAGTCAACTAGATTGGAATTAGATAGAAAAGAGATTAAGCTGTATGCAAAGTTGGAGTGTCTACCACTCATAGGTTATAAAGGTAGTTGTGCCAGGAAGCAGAACTGTGTCTTTGAAAAATCCTCATAAATTTTGTCTTGTTTTCTTGCCTGAGGTGGGAGGGTAAATCTCACCCACGTAAATTCATTTGGCCAGAAGCAGAAGTTGCATGTAAAGTATTGACCTGTATGTCTGGAGGCAAACAAAAGGGGGTGAGCTTGGTTCCATCTTGGAGGTAAACAAGCAAAGTAAGGAAGATGAAGTTTCTTATTTTAACAGATGAACTGATGGTGTGTGTGTGTTTTGCTTGTGGTAAACCAAGATAAGGTTATAGATTTTATAAAAATAGAAAAAGAGGTAAAATTGTCAGATCTTATAAGAAATAGGTATTTGTTAAGTCTTGAGATATCAATTTCTGTACATTGTTTTGAATGAGCTAGAAGAGAAGAAAAGTAAGCAGATCCTGTCCTTGGTAAGTTTTCAAGTCTTATTAATGAACACTGTAGTCTTTGAACAAAAATCATATTGACCTTACACTACTTATGTGTAATCTTGGATTTCCCATCTGCTCCAGCAATTAACTTTAATCCTTTATCTTTCTGCTCTCTTCCTAAACCTAAAACTTCAAACTAGCTGCAGAAATGAATCTTTTAAACATTTATTCCCCTTACACACTTATCTGAGATTTGAGTGGAACTAAACTAGAATAGGACAGTATTTGCTCTACAAACACACCATCACATAACATCCCAAAGATACACTTGAGATTTTCAAACTGTGGAGAGCTCAGAGTCTAACCAGATTGAGAATAAGGGACTATAAGACTAAAATGAAAGAAGCACCAACTACCTCAGAAATGGTAGACAAGAGACGATGGCCTCTCTCTCTCTCTTTGTCTCTCTCTCTCTCTCCTCTCTCCCCTTCTCCTTCCTTTTCTTCTCCCTCTTCCTCTCCCTCCCTCCCTATTCCATTTTCTAGAAGAAATGCTGCAGTGCAATGCCCCTATCATCAAAGAAATCTCTCAGATGCGCCGTGTCAGCACAACCTCACTGTTAGCACTCCAGAGCTTTGTCATGAAATCTCTGGAAGAAACGTGGTGAGTATTGCTTGGTGAAGGCAGTGAACCTTTCCAGAGCTGCTCCCTGGCTCCTGAAAGCCACATGACTCAAAAAGTCTCATAATCCACTCACAAAGTTCATTGTCAGTGCCTCCTTACAAAGGGAAAGCCCAACTTATCTTGAACCCTCTTACCTACCTGCACACACACACACACACAGACACACACACACACTTCTGTTTGTTTTCCTGAACAAGGAACAATATAGTATTTATTGGGAAGGATAGGCTAACATTAGCAAAGGATTGAAATTTTAAGAATATTTTTTAATATCTTGATGTTCCCCAATTTCCACTTTGGCTTCCTCCAAAAGCAGAGATAGGTTTGCCTTTTGGTATGTCAGGCTTTGGCCTTCTTTGACATTCTCGGCCTCCTTCTGGCAGGTTTAAAGATTACCAAGAGCTGTTCCCAGCTATTCCTCAGGAACCACAAACTCAAGTACGAACTTTGCCTAGGAAGCCCTCTAAGAATCCAGCAACTCACCTACAGGAATCCCAGGTCAGTGAGGAAGCCAACGAAGACAAGACACCAGGGACAAGAAAACCACTGGCTAGGCATTGCCAACCATACGAACGAGTTTCACTGTTAGCTACCAAAACAACTACCCTTTGGGATAGGTTTCTAAAGCCCCACTTTACGAAGGAGGAATCTGAGTCTCAGAGAAACCATTAGAGTGGAATTTAAGGAAGTCCCTGTCTTTACTATCTTTGTGACAGGCACAGGGACTCATGGAGATCAAAATGTCAGGTTTGTTTTTTATTGCTGAAAGCTACTTTCAAGGACATGGGATGACCGTGAAGCCAAAAGGGTTTGATAATCCTCTCTCTGCACCCAAATTACATTTGCATGTCCATCCACTATAGCATAATGGAACAACCCAGGCCTCCTCTTACCCAGGTGAGTCCCTTACTGTCCTAGGAAGGGCAGGCCTGAACTTGGGTCCTGGAGACAAACACCTCCCAGAGGGGGAATGCAAAGGGCCACGAGCAGACCACACCCACTTCCTTCTTCCAGACTCACCAGTCATCTAACTCATCCTTTCTCCCACTAGAGGAGATAAAAAGGGAAGAAAGAGAACACAGGTATGTCATTCAGGAGTCTTCATACGGCTTGAGGAAAAAATTAAAATAATCTTAAATGGTCTCTTGATAATTATCATTTCTTCAATGGACTATAGAATTAGTTCATATCAGAAAAATTTGAGCCCAGCTCTGACTCCAAAGATCATGCCCAGGTATTTCTGAAAATCATGCCTATGCCCATTGATCCAGTACTCCAGAGGTGCAAATGGGCCTCCCTTGCCTTTCTTCTTTTTATTTCCTCCATACATGAATTAACTCCATGTCAGGGTACCAAGAATGATCAGGTAGGACGTTGGAAGGAATGCTGCACCCAGAACCAGGACGCTTTGTTTTAATTTCATGTCTTCCCGTTGCTCTTAGATAAGAAAAGATAAACAGAAAACCAACATGTACACACGCCTACTTTGTGCTAAGCACTGTATTAGGGTTTCCATATGTCATCACTAACCCACACCGCAACCATGAAGGCTGTTGTTTCGATCTTACATGTGGAGACATGGACGCACAGGTTAAGTAAGTTGACCCAAACGACACAATCGGGGTGAGGTAGGCTCCAGACTCAAAGTTTCTGATCCTAAGTCCAGTGGTTTTTGAACTTCACCGTTGGCTCTCTGAAGCCATGCTTCTACTGAGGTGCCAGCCTGTAGGATGAGACAACTAAACTAGATCAGCAAGATGCTTTCTGGCTCTCAGCACCAATTTCTTAAGGGGTAAACCAACTGGAGAAGGGTCACTCGGTATCCACGAAGAAATGGGTGAAGAAACTTACCAAATAAATTTGTGCATGTGCATCTAATTATTTTTCCTTTTTTTAATGCTTAGAAATGGTTTTGCTCGTTTCCTAATTTTTTCAACATTTCAAAATCTGCCTGAGCCATATCCCCTTCTTGTGAGTCGTACTTACCTCTGTCCTCTGTTTCTTCCTGTTTTTAGCTCTCACACCTCTTGTCCCAATCACGGCATCTTAAATCTTCACTGTTGAAAGACACTGGTAGAAAGAGCGTTGTCACTGGCCCCAGACACGCCTGGTTGAAGCCGGAATCTTCCACTCAACAGCTGCTTAATCTGGGGAAGGTTATACAAGTTCTCTGACCCAAGTTTCCTGGGCTTTAAACTGGAGCTTAAAATTCTTCCTTTTAAAGGAGGTGTTGTGAGGATTGCATGTAAAGAATGTCAAGTCCCGGCCCATAGTTGACTCTCAGTGCATAGCAGCTGTACTAATGAATATGTCATACCCCTCTCTCTTTCCCCAGAAGAGAGGCTGGCCGAAAATTGTGAGTTTTATCAGGAGCTTTTGCAAATGCCGCAGATATTTGTCCAATGTCAACATGCGCCAGGAATTTGAAGAATATCTTCACCTGGAAATAAACAACAAAGAAAGTAAGTCACGTCTCTACTTCTCCCCACCTTCCCTGTTGATTTCAGCAGCAGGGCTGGCCCAGAGAAGAAGCTGCAGAGCTATGGCTCTGTGTCATTCCTGCCTGCGTCAGCCCGGGGTCCAGCAAGAAGCCCAGGTCCTGGGTGCAAAGCCAAGCCCAGGCCAGCCTGGAGAGAATGGGAGTCCAGTGGCTTCTGCTCAGGGAGCCAGAGGGGGGAGAATGACTAGTCTAAAGCAGTGTGAGATCTCACATTTTACAAAACTATTTTCTTAACATTGTTTCTTTGTAGTAGAGATTTATTAAATAGTTTTGGTTCATTCATTCAACACGCTTTTTGAGAATGTGGCAGGCACTTTGCAGGGTGCTGGGGATACGGTAGTGAACATGCAGCATGGGCTCTGCCCTCAAGGTACCTCCAGTTTTGAGGGCAAGGCAGAAAATAAGAGCCACAGATGTTGGAGCCAGATTTCCTGGGTTTGAATCTGGCACTTTCTAACAGAAGGACCTTGTGAAAGTGACTTTGTGCCTCAGTTTCCTCATCTATAGAATGGAAATAATTGTGCCTATCTCAGAGAGTTACAGTGAGGATTAAGCGAGTTAATATATATAAAGTGTCTTAGAACTACTCCTGGCAATAGTAAGTGCTATAAAAGGGCTAGCCAGTATTCTTGCTAATATTATATAATTGTGATGTGTGGTCCCAATGATGATTGCAGAGAGACCCTAATTAGTCATGGGGGAGAATCAGGAGAGAGTTCTCCCAGAAAATGACATGGAGTTGAGTTTTCAGGGATGAGCAAGTTAGGCATGCAAAATAGGAGGGAGTGATTTCTAGGGCTGCGTAGAATCCTAAAATAGGAAAGAGGATGGTGCAGTTCAGGAACTTTAATTTAAGGCCAGTTGGACTAGAGATTAATGAGATGGGAAAAGTGTCTGAGATGAGACTGGAGGGATTGATAGTGACAAATCGTGTCTCTCTCTTGAAGACTTTTGAGTTGTTCCAAATCTCACTTTAGCAAACAAAGCTGCAAAACTTGCATACTTTGCAATTGTCTGTTTCTGTGAAATAAAAAAATGGAAGTAATGGGTAAATGGTTAAAAATAGTTTGATTGCAGCCCTCTAAAACCATTGCAATAATTAAACTCTCACCAACAGTATAAAATAAGGGCTGCATTGTCACCAACACAGGCTGTTATACATTTTTTTTTAAAACTGCCAATCTGGTAGATGAAGAACAATGTACCATCCTTGTGGTATTTGAGCACCTTTATTTATTGGTCACTTGTATTCTTTTTGAACTGTTTATGTCCTTTGTGTATTTTTGTATTGGAATTTTAATATTATTATTTTTATTTTCTAACTTGCAAAAAGGTTTTGTATGTATTTTTATGGACTGCTTCACAACCAAACATTTAGGATTAAAGAATAGTTCTAGCCCTGGCTGGCATGGCTCAGTTGGATGAGTGTCAACCCATGCCCCGAAAGGTTACCAGTTCAATTCCTTGTCCTGGCACATGCTTGGGCTTCGGGCTCAATCCCCAGTAGGGGGCATGTAGGAGACAGCAGGTCCATGTTTCTCTCCCACATTGATGTTTCTCTCTCTCTCACTCCCTTTCTCTCTCTCTCGAAATACAATAAAAACACACTTTCAAAAGGAGAATAGTTCTAGCTCTTTGGTTTCTTCTTTTAAGTAAAATCAACTGAACCCCTTATGCTCAGGATGTAGAAAGTCCAATTTCACCGTCCTTTGACCTTCTACATCTCCAGCATTGTATGCAAGCCTAAGAACAAGGGTGCTTCTAAAGCTCCATGGGAGATCTACTGGATCAGTGGTCTGCTTCCCATCACTATAGTCTTTTCCTGGATTGTTATGTCCTCCAGTGAGTGGACTCAGTTATCGTTGTGAAAGGACTTTCTTCATCCTTAGTGATATTCTTTTTTCTGGAATGTACTTTGTCTGATATTAAAATAGCCACTGCAACTTCTCTTTTATTAGTGTTGGCATGTATAACTTTTCCCATTCCTTTCCTTATAACCTATTTAGAGCCTTACATTTAAAGTGCTTTTCCTGTATCCAGCATATATAATTGGGTCTTGCTTTCAAAACACACACACACACACACACACAAAACGCACCCTGATGACCTTAGCCCAACTGAGAGTCAATTGTTAAATATTTAGGTACTTTGTGAGTCAGTTGACAAACCATCAATAGATTGAAATCAATCACGGTGGGAGCATTTGCTATAGAAATGGGCAAATAATACAAATCATGTCTTCCATGCCCCTACCAGAGAAGATTTATAAGCATACCACTGCATCCAGATTTCTTGGGTGGATTTAGCACCCTCTTTCCTAAAATCCATGACTATCATATCAATATTCACTATTATTCAGACTTTTTTCCCCTTCAAACTCAAATCTCAGAGATAAAGAGAGACTGTAAGATAGTTGGGAGAGACCTTATGCTTTGTAACCCTAGGACCCAGCACAGTGCCTGGGACACAACAGGTGCTAGGTATTTATTGACTGTTGTTACAGTTACCCCCCCATCAAAAAGAATCCCACTAGACAGTTTCTTAAACCCAGCCAAGTAATGAACTAGGGTCTACCTGTCAGTTCCAGCCCCAAAATGTTCTCTTCTCAGCCCTAAATCCTTATGAGTTGATTTCTCTGAATATATCCTAGTCAAGAAACTTTCTAAAATAACTCTCTTAGTTTTCTGAGACACAACCCAAACCTTCTAGAGTCTTCTGCGCTCTCCTTTACTCATTCCTGTCTTATTTCTACTCTAGCTTCCTACCCTCTGTTTCTTAATTATTTTCTTTACTCTCCCTGTTTTGTCTTTTTCTTTGTGCTGCTTTCCCAGTTTACTTCTAAACTACTTCCCTGATAAACCTTGAAGAAGCATCATCAGAACCACACACTCTATTTTGAAGGTCACTTCTGCATATTTTGTTTCTGCAGAAATGTTAGGGATTGGCATAACTACAGTGTGCTTCTATCTCTATTAGACAAAAGCCAGGAAGACAGCTTTCAATACTCAGCTGATCTTTTTTTTTTGGTACGTATGTTGTCATACCATCTGAGCGGATGGCTTTTCCAGCAGCAGTCCTTCGTGTCCAAATGAAAGACTGAGCCGAATGACAGGGAGTCACTATTTCAGTAGGCCCTAAGGTGGATCCATAGTTTCTTTCATTTTAGTGATGCCCAGATTGAAGGCTTCAGGCTTAAGAGAGACTTGCTCAAGTTAGATGTTAATTCCTTCCTCTTTCTTTTTCAGATTTCCCTGCATCACCAAATGTATCAGGACGCCCATCCCCACATCACTCAAATGTCAAGAGTGGAGAGGAGAATGGAGATGTAATCCTTATGAAGCGTCGTATATTTAGCCACAGGGTTGTCACTGTCAACTTTGCCCTCAATGACTTATATTTCTTTTCTGAAATGGAGAAGTAAGTTTCCCATCTTGCCTTTCCCTTATGGTTTTCCATGCTTAGTACCTCCTGGCAAAGACGGGAGTGGCCTGTAAGTGGCACAGTGATTTCTGAAAATCTCACTGAATGCTGTCACTGTATCACTTTCCACCATTTTTTCCTTTGGGCCCTAAGATCTCTTCAGTGTTCTCGAGTTTCCAATATTGAATGCACTTACTTATACCCAGGATGTGGAACCCTTTCGTATTATTATTTATTAATATGATATAAATCCTCTTATGTAGCACCATTTGACCAATAGTTCTTTTTTTAAAAAAAATTATTGATTAGAGAGGGAGAGAGAGAAACAGCAATTTGTTGTTCCACTTATTTACGCATTTATTGGTTGCTTTTTGTATGTGCCCTGATCAGAGATCAAATCTGCATCCTTGGCCTATAAGGACAACACAATAACCAGCTGAGCTACTCGGCCAGGACTGGACCAATAGTTAAAGCAAGGAATTATAATAATTAAGGTTGTGTGTGTGTGTGTGTATGTACATGATATTAAGCAGACATTTTTTAAGTTAAAACATATTAATGTACACTCACCTGTCAAACTTTTGATGTAAAGCCAAAACCATTCCACTAATTGGGGGTCCACATATTTTTCTTGTATATATTATCCCTATAATGCTATCTACTAAGTCTATCTACCTGCATCTGGCAGCTCACCTCCTATTACTTGCCACTTGTCCCAGGCTCCAGCTCTGAGGCTCTGCACTCTGCTCCTTCCTGCCCACTGAGCTGGCTTCAAATAACTGTCTTTTTCTTTCTCCTTGTTTGAGTCTCAGTGCCTGCTCCCTTCCCAATTACATCATGCCATTTGGTTGTCTTCATAGCCTCTACTGGATATTTAATTATTCACCTATTTACTTATGCATCTTCTTTGTGAACTCCTGGAAAACCGAACTTTGTTTACTTTGTTCACTGCTGAATCTCTGCTCCTGGAACTGTGCCTGGCACAGAGTAAACACTTAATAAAAAATGTTCATTGACTGAATATATGAATGGATATGAGAAAACCTGGTGTTCTACTATTAGGATGGCTTTAAATTGTTAAAATTTTAACTGGCCTGGACACTTAAATCAAGATAAGATATAACTGACAGATATTTCACAATCCCTAAAAGGAGACAGAAAGTAGAGTGGCGGCTGCCAGAGGCTGGGGGAGGTGGGGAATGGGACTTAGTGTTTAATGGGTATAGAGTGTCAGTTTGGGAAGATGAAAGAGTTCTGGAGAATGTGGTGGTAAAGATCACACAACAATGTGGATGTACTTAATGCCACTTCAAAACAGTTAAACTGGTAAATTTTATGTTATATATATTTAACAATTGTAAAAAAAAATTTAATAATTTAATAAAAGGAATATGTTGCTTCAAAGACTGGTAGTAATTGGGAGAGGGTCAGCACAGGAGGGGAAAGAAAGAGCAAGATAGCGCTTAGCCCTCGAAGCAGTCAGAGGTCCGGATGGGTAAGGGAGGGAGGATGGGATAAATAGGGGAGTTGGTGATGAAGAAATACACTTGGAGAAGCACTTAGCATATTATCTGACACGTGGTTCGCACTCAGCATTTGCCATAGATGAATCGTGACCGAATGAAGTCACAACCTGGCCAGGATTGGCCCTGTCTTTTTTAGGCAAGCAATTGGTCTGGGCTGGCTGCCCTAATTAGCCACTGCTTTCCTCTTTGCTGATTTCCTACTTGCTGCCTCTTTTTAGGTTTAACGATTTGGTGAGTTCAGCTCATGTGCTACAAGTCAACCGGGCCTACAATGAAAATGATGTGATCCTAATGAAGTCCAAAATTAGCATCATCCTGAAGCTCTTCCTGCAATCGGATGTCCCTCCAAAGCTGAGGGTAAGGGGACTCCCACTCCTCCCAAAAGCTGTCGGCCACCTCCTAAGTCCTGGGTCAGGCGGATGGCCTTTACCCAGCAGCCCCAGGAAAAGCGTCTGCCTTCTGGGGAGGGGGTTGTCTTAAGGGTTGTGGGGACCAAGAGAGGTTTTCTGCCTTCCCTGGAGCCTCTGCCAGTGACGGGCTCCCACTCTGCGGGCAGGTGAACATCTCTGAGTCCCAGAAGGAGGCCATCCTTGCTGCCATTGCAGACGGCCGTCTTGATCGGAGCATCTTCCACGGGGCTATCATGTCTCTCTTCCCTGTCATTATATACTTCTGGAAAAGGTAACTATCTCCCCTCCCTCACCAGGTCCGGAAAACACCACCTTTGACTTTCTAGAGAGCCTTCTGTCTTCCTGTAGCTCTCTGTTCTGGTTTCCTGATCCATGGGAACCGAGATGGTGTATTCTCGTACGCACTACACTTCTACACATCTTCCCTTACACGCTCACACTGAGCACTGATTCAGGGGGTGGAAGGCTAAGTGAGACTGGGGACCAGAATGCCTGGCTCCCAGCTCTCCCTCCGTTTGCTTGAAGCAAGGATGTTAGATTGTGTTAGGCGTAGGTTCCTCACCCAAGGGTGACGGTGGCCCACAGCTACTTGGGAGCAATCTTTCAAGGCTGACACAACTGTCCCCATGCTTAAGGAGCCTCAAGGGGGCAGTTAGCCAAGAGAGTTCTGCTCTGTTATGCCCACATCCCATAATTACCAGTACGGCACAGTTGCTAGATATTTCAATTTACAAGAGAAGCTAGAAATTCAGGTTCTTATGTCATATCTCCCAAGGTTAAAGTAGGAAATGTGGCAACCAATTCAAACCTAAAACAGGGGGAGGAAATTGTGAAGGCCGGAAACGGAAGTGAAACAAAGAAAATATCTGCAGGACAAACGCTACGGGGCCCACTGGTTCCTAACCTGTCCTGTCAAGGTTTGGGCTGAGAGACTCACCTATGTTCTCCCAACTGGTTATTCACATGTGTGGTCCACTGTGGCCCCAGTTCACGCCATCCACCTGGTGAATGGCAGTGCCCTGGGTGATACTGGCCACAGGACAACTGGCTGAAAAGTTTCCAGACCAAGCTAGTTGGGATGTTTAGATTATTATTGTGATTCCAGTTCTCAGAGGTTTCCCTCTCCCACACAAAAAAAGTTACTTTCTTAAAACAGAAGTGTAAATGTTGCTCACCAATCACCAACCTTTTTTTAAAAATCCCTAAGGTAAATTATTTAGTACAGGATTGAAAGAAATTTTTTTTCAAAATCTACGTTCAAAATAACCAGTTGAGCCTTTTGAACACCAATTGTTACCTAGCACTTAAGTCTAGACTTGATTCTACTTCTGCTAACCACGACTAAATAGAAATTTGTCCTGAAACTTTCAGGGGATTAGAAAGCTCTTGGAAATATATGCTGCTTCTGGCTTGAGTCAGTGCTCAGTTCCCCCCATCCCTGTTTAGGAAGTATAGGGTAGCCTCTGGAGGCTGTGAGTCGTAGTCCTCATGCAGTTGGTTCTTTACTTGCTTTCCTCTACACTTATGAAGAGTTTTATATGATGCGAACCCTGTCCACATCTATTATCTCAGGTGAACCACTCAACAACCCTGTGAGGTGGGTGGTGCAAAGTATTGTTATCCCTGTTTTATAGATGAGGAAACCGAGGTTCAGAGTGGTTAAGGGACTTGCCTAGGTAAGTGGTGCCACTTGGTAAGTGGATTAGAAACCAGGTCTCTCGGTCTCTCAGACACCCATAAAGAATGCATCCTTGGCATATTGGGAGGTCCATGGCTGGAGGAGAGACCCAGTGTAGCAAGTAAATTGGGAGAAACCAACAGTCATTGGGTGGAGTGTCCCTAGGGGAGGAGGAAGGAGGGCAGCAGTCAAGACCACCAGAGCCAAGGGAGAATAGAAAAGAAAGGCAAGAGAAACCCCCAAGGGGATCGATCTCAGGACAGGCGAGGGGATAGCAAAGGGTTAGGGCTAAGAAGGAAGACATGGAGAGCGTTGTGAGGGCTTCTAGGGAGGACCGTACTCGGGTTGGAGTGAGTATGAGAGTGAGTTCTTTCAAGGACCCAGGTTTTACTCTAGGGAAAGGACTGTTAGGAATGAGGTGAGAGGGTCAGGGCCCTCAGTAAGGGACAGGATGGGAACCAGGGTTGTTGGGACCTAAGGGAGGCCAGTCAGATGTTCTGTCTGCACCAGATGGGGTTAGATGGGATCTCAGAGTCTGATGTTCAAGGGAGCAATGCAGCAGGGTGGGGCACACCGGGATGGGGTACGGCAGATCCTTACAGACTCCATTCACTGGAGGTTCCAGAAGGAACTCCCAAAGTGCTGTCCATCCCGGCCCTGTGCTGGAACCAGGCAGTACGGGGAGGCAGACGCTGTCCTCTTGTCTGTAGGACCCCACTCTGTGTGAGGACTGGTCCCGACCCGGTTCCCCTGTGCTGTGTCGCAGTCCCCTCAACAGCTGGGTTTCTCCCTGTGACCAGAAGCCATTCTTCTCACAGGTTTTGTTCCTGGAAGGCAATCCGCTCTTATTTACAGTTCAGGGGGAAGAAGTTCAAGGACAGCAAAGCTCCTTCTAAATCTACGTACAAGCACCCTCCTTGGAATGGAGGTAAGCGGCACCATGACCCACAGACCCATTCTCTAGCAAACAAGGCTCAAGTACGGAAAGCGAGGGCTGGAAGGACCAACAGTGAGACCTCACAGAGAGCGTTTGCTGGTGGGATGGGCATCGCATTACTTGGCCCTCAGAGGAGCATTAAAGTATATTTTATCTGTGGCTATCAGTGCTGGCAAAAAGCCCCCCCAACCACCACCCCATGGGTAGCTCGCCAGCATTACCTCCCAGGACGCCTCTGGGCACGCGGGTCACAGTCTCTGTGGTGGGGACATGGAGGAGGTGGCCTGCTTTACTACTGTTTAAGAAGCCTCCTCTCCAACTAGCTCCATAAACTATGTTACAGTGTTAAAGAAAAGTTAAGGGCAGCAGGCCCTGAATTAAGGGGTGAGGTCACTTGGGTTCTAAGCCTGGAGAGTCATCCCATATGAGCTGAGGTATTTTGAAAATCTTGCTTCCCTCTTATGGTCTCAGACCCCTGATCTAAGATACAGACATTTGGATTTGGAAAATGTTCTATCATTAACATCCTGTAATCCAAGGAGTGTTAAACAGGAGCTTTCTTGCTTTCTTGGAATGATTTCTTTCATTGGGTGTTGCTATAAAGGCTTTTAATGCTCCGCCTCTTCTCTCCCCAGGAGACCACGCCATCTTAAGGTTCTCCCTACTCAGAGGGGTTGAATGGTCGCGGCCTCAGCAGCGAGATGTAATAGCAAGTTCAGTGCAGAACTGTGAGTTGGAGTTAGAATTCCGCTGATTTCAAAAGTCCACTACTCAATGAGAGGGTGACCCTAAGCCAGCTTGGCCAATCTCCTTGACCAGGAAGAGACTGAAATCCCCCCCAAATATGAAGTAATTTGTTCAGGATCACACAGCTTGTGAGTGCAGGGATGGGGTGAGAAGCAGGTTTCCTGACTGTCTTTCCAGGGCCCTGTGCCCAGCTCTCATTAGAATAATCATATCTTCTTGAGTCTTTTATAATACCTTGAAGACAGGTAGCTTAAGCTTCTCCATATTTCTGCTGGCTCCTCTCCCCATTTCCAGGCACGATGTGTCATCTTTATTAAGAAACAGTGATGACATCCCACTTGTTACTTTCCTCTCCCACGGAGGACACCTGTTGCTTCAAATGGAACTTCATCCCATGCCTCCTGCTCCCTGGAGGCTCCTGCAACTGGTCCTCTTATCCCTGTAGTGGACACTCTGGTCCTAGCCTTCCATATTGGGTCCATGTTGTATCCTTTCTCTTCCCCATCTTTAGCCACTAGGAGTTCATCCCATTCCCAAACACGAAAGCTGCCTTGGTTTCCTCATAGTTTCTTCCAACAAACCTTTCCTTTCTGTCCATTGTCAGCTTCTACTTCCACGTTGGAGATACTGCTTCTCTGAAATATCCGCTTACCTGGCCTCCCCATTTGCATATGTCCCCCCATTGCTTAATGGGGAAGCCATTATGGAACACTGCCCATGATCCATGGGGTTCCAAACAGCCCTCAAGTCTGGTGTTCCTGGTGCTCATCTGGCCTCATCTCCTTATTTTACTTCCCTGGATCAGTGGGGTTGGCATCATGACGTGTGCATCCAAATGAAATATCCCCTAGGCCAAAAAAAGATTGCAGCATCCAACCCAGATCTCCTAACTGTCCCTGGAGCATTGCTGCTTCATCTTCACTCACCCAGCTCCTCTGGTGGCTGTCCTGGGATGGCCTCCCCGGCTGGAGGGCAGCCAGGGAGGGTCCGTGCCCTGAGTTCCGATGCAGTTTTTCTCTGTATTTGTCTTTAGCTTCATCGAGCAACCTGACCCAGCTAGGATATACCCCCTCCACCGTGCAGCTGTATCCTGTCCCAGGGTAGGCACGAGCCGGAAGCCCTCTTCTTCAGTGCTGAGCTTCTTTGTCCAAGTGCACGAGGGGAGACGGGGGAGAGGTTTCCCAGAGGCCTACCTCCACCTCCTGACACTCCTTGGCAAATAGAACCAAGAAGTTGAGCTGGCTGCTTCCAGAAAAGCCTGTGGGTGTCCTCATACAGCTCCAGTAGGACAGGCACTTTGGGAGGTTGAAGGCCCTGAGCCACCTTCCAGGGGAACACCATTGCTGGAGGAAGAACATCCCGGGTGGTCTCTTAGTGTCTGCCTCCCTAACGCTCTAGCGCTCCCGGGTAAGGTGTGTGAGATGGGGAAGAAAGAGGAGCCGTCCTGCTGCTTGGCAGGGTATTGACGGTAAGGATAGAAAGGATTTGAGCCTGTTGAGGTCTGAATCACCCTCACTTCTGTAAGGGCGTCAGAGTGGAGCTGATACTAAGTTAAGGCTCTGGGAGAATCCCCAGTGAGCCATAGAAACCAGCGCCAAAGAGCTGCTTGAAGGTCAAGGTTACAGACAACAGGCTCTATGAATGGTGGGCCTGGTTTCCTCAGCAGCCATCCCACCTTCTCAGACCTGCTGCAAGTCCAGTGGGGGGGGGGG